AGCTATTCCTTTATGCCTTCCAATTATCTTTAGAAGTACCAGTGTAGCTCTTTCACCTTTATGAGTTGTACAGACCTGTCCTAGACAATGGTGAACTTAAACACTAGGTGAAGGATGCTAGGAAAATACCTGTTTTTCTTACAAAGCAACTCGCGATCTGCTTTTAGCAATAGCACTTAGACTTATATAGCACTTCACAGTGCTTTCCAGCCCTCTCTAAGCGGCTTAGAGAGTCAGCATATTGCCCCAAACAATCTGGATCCTCATTTTATCGACCTCGGAAACATGGAAAGCTGAGTCAACCTTGAGCCGGCGAGAATCAAATTGCTGGCAGTCAACAGAATTAGCCTGAGTACTACCTTTTACTGCCAACAAAAGTATGTATAGCCAAGGCCATGGTTTTCCCAGTTGCAATGTATGGCTGTGAAAGTTGGACCATAAGAAAGGATGAGCGCCAAAGAATTGAGGCCTTTGAACTATGGTGCTGGAGAAGACTCCTGCGAGTCCCCTGGACTGCAAGGCGTTCAAACTGGTCATTCCTAGAAGAGATCAACCCTAACTGCTCTTTAGAAAGCCAGATCCTGAAGCTGAAACTCAAGTACTTTGGCCACCTAATGAGAAGGAAGGACTCACTGGAGAAGAGCCTAATGCTGGGAAAGATTGAGGGCAATAGAAGAAGGGGGTGACAGAGAATGAGGTGGCTGGATGGAGTCACTGAAGCAGTAGGCGTGAGTTTAAATGGACTCCAGAAGATGGTAGAGGACAGGAAGGCCTGGAGGAACGCTGTCATGATGGGTCAGACACAACTTCGCAACTAACAACAACAACACTACCTTTTAACCACTGTGCCGCCACGGCTCTTTTCCAATCAATTGCAAAAAATAAAGACTTCCATCTCTTTAACTGGCTACATTCAATTGCAACTGGTTTTCCCTCTAGTTCTAAACCAGGAAGAGCTAGGGACAACCATTGAAGAATTTGGGAAAGCTTCTCCGAACCACTCAACATGTTTTCCGTTTGTAGGAAACTTCCTTAGCTCATCAAATCAGCAATGAAACTCCCTCGATATATCCTAGTTGCTAGTATCCCTGTTGCTTTTATCTCCAGAGTCACTGCTCTTAGTTTTATTATTTTGTTTCAAGGAAGGGGAGGAAGGAATCTTTAGAAGATCTCCAAATTAATTTCATTCAGCTATATTTTCCCCTGTTGCGCTCACTGCCTTCTGGATCTCAGAAGAGGCAAGTCAGAACTTCAAGCAGAAATTAGAATACTGTCTGATATTTCCTGTATGATTTAATTTCCATTTTCCCTGCAGGGGGCAGGTGTCACTGAAATAATTTTTGCATCACGGTCTTAGCCCTGGTTGCACTTGGATAAATTGTCCAATGATTAATTATATGCTAGGCCCTTACACATATTGTAAACTGCTTGTTATTCCAGCAAAAGTCTTCTCTTAGTGGGGGGTTTTTCAGACATCCAGCTGAGCTTCTGATAGCAGAAGGAGCTAATAGCTGACCAGCCTCAAGGCCTTTCATGGATTTTAGGATTAACTATACACTGACTGTTTCCTTTTCTTTGCTCTGATCTGTGAAACAGTCATTCCAGGATATTGTTATACTGCTGCCCTGCAGGCAAAGCTGCAGCAGCCAGGTGCAAGGTGGAACAGCATCTACTGAGTAATGGTAGCGTAAATTTAAAAAAAAAAAAAAAAAAAAGACTGACAATGCTGAGATCAGTAAAGTACCTAAAAACAACCACGATCATGTGACGGCCGTGGCCAGGGGGGCTTTTCATCAGGCTCGCCTGATACGCCAGTTGCGCCCCTTTCTGGATCGGGACACCCTACGCACGGTCACTCAAGCACTCGTTGTTTCCCGCCTGGACTATTGCAACACTCTCTACATGGGGCTCCCCTTGAGGTGCACCTGGAGGCTCCAGCTAGTTCAGAATGCGGCCGCGCGGGGGATTTTGGGGGCCTCTAGATACTCCCATGTAACACCTCTTCTGCGCTAGCTGCACTGGCTGCCGGTGGCCTTCCCGGTGCACTTCAAGGTGTTAGTAACAACTTTTAAAGCGCTCCATGGCAATGGACCTAGGTATTTGCAAGACCGCCTCCTACCAAATATCTCCCTTCGACCAGTCCGCCCCCACAGAGAGGGCCTCCTTAGGGTGCCATCAGCCAGTCAATGCCGGCTGGCGACCCCCATGGGGAGAGCCTTCTCTGTGGCAGCTCCTGCCCTCTGGAATGACCTACCCCCTGACCTACGTACAACTACGGACGTGCGCCTCTTCCGCCGAGCCTTGAAAACCCATCTATTCCATGCGGCCAGCCTGGCGTAGTTTTGATTGGGCTTTGCTAGGGGTTTTATATGGGGTATTTTAGAGCAGGCTTTTTATTCAATATTTATTGTGATTTTTATTATTGCCTGTTCACCGCCCTGAGTCCCGTAAGGGAGATAGGGCAGTATATAAATTTAAATAATAAATAAATAAATCTGATTCTCAAGATGTGGTATATATAACCTTTCCCAAACCTAAAGTCCTCTATGGGGGTCAGAGATGTACCATCTGACGGACTGACATCCAGCATGTTTAGAGGCTTCAGATTGGAGAAGACTGTAATCACAAAACAGAGATCTGCAACAAAGAATAGCAGTAGGGCATTTCCAACCCAGTTAGCTTCCCCTCCCTCCCAAATTATTTCACCTCCTACAGCTACTGAGCATACCCACTTCTCACTGGCTAATTAAAAAGAGTTCTGGCTTTCCCTTTCTAATGCTGCAAATTCTCATCCTCTCTGTAGCATATGGAACTCGTCTCCTCAATATCCTTGTTGTTGTTGTTACATAGCTGTTGAGTGTCGATACTTTCTGTTGGAAGATGCGTCTGAACATACAGCAGGGATGATTGAAAGGCAAGACTCTAATGGTCCTGTCATGCCGTAGACCTCAACAGCCTTTCAGGAATGTGCTGGGTACTAGAAAGTGTTAATATCCCACCACGAAGCTCCAGAACCTCAGGGGCCAAATGGGGGCTACAAAATCGTAGAAGTATTCTAAACCAAAACACAAAGGAACAAAGGATTAAACAAGCACAGATGTTTTCTAGGGATGTCCACCCCGTTTCTGGGAAGGAGCCCACTGCAGCTGTTGTCCTCCTGATGCTCTATTTGCTTAGGCAGACCAGCCTACATTAACCTTCCAGCTCATTTGAGTTTGTCTTTTCCTGCTTGACAATTAAAGAGGACTCCGATGAATACTTGCCTACCCCGGTAACTTATCCACATGAAAACCTTCTACGTTGCCCTTTTAGATAAATTTAAAACAAATTACAATGTGCCTTTTGAATGTGAGCAGCCTTATTGTTAAGAATGATAAAGGTATGGGTAAGGAAAATGGTGAGAGGTTTGAGTCAACTCCTTTTGGAAGAAAGGTTGCAATATCTAGCACACTGTAATTTAGAAAATTAAGTAAACCAGGCATGAGAGAGGTGTACAGTATATAGCAACAGACAGAGAAGAATATTAGAAACTGTTCTCCAAGGAAAATATTTATCAGAGAAAGACCCAGCAAGCACTATTTTTTATCCTTACCACCTAAAGATTTACTCTGCTGCTTTAGATATTCAAGCCTATTATAAGATGCCAACTGTAAACCAGGCATTAGAGAGTTGTAAGCATCAAGAGAGTTGCTACCTTAGAAACCAACTTTCCTCTCACCGCTACACACATTTCCACTCACCCCTTCAACCTCTGTGTCAATGCAGAGGAGCACAAAGGGAACATTCTAGAAGATATGTAGAGATTATTGATGGTCTCAGTTCATGTTTCGCTAAAGCAGTGGTTCTCAACCTGTGGGTCGGGACCCCATTTGGGGTCGATCGACCATTTCACAGGGATCGCCAAGCAAGGCTGTCTGCCATTTTTTTCCCCTTTTCCGGCGGGTGCCTTACCTCCCTTGGGCTGGGCCAGCTGGTGGTCGGCCTGCTCCGTCTCTGCCGCTTGCCAGCTACGCCTCGGCCGGCGCAGGGGGCGGAACCATGCATGCGCGGCGCTCCCGGGCAGGGAAAGTCCTCGACTTATGACCGGTTGGGTAGTCCTCGACTTACGACCGGTTTAGTCCTCGACTTACGACCGGTTTAGTCCTCGACTTACGACCGGTTGGGGTCGCGGCATTAAAAAGGTTGAGAACCACTGCGCTAAAGTAAGAGTAAAGGTAAAGGTGTACGACTCTAGGGGATGGTGCTCATCTTCGTTTCTTAGCCGAGGGAGCCAGTGTTATCCGAAAACACTTCTGTGGCCGTGGGGCCAGCATGGCTATACACACCGAAGCGCACAGAACGCTGCTACCTTCCCACCAAAGTGGTACCTATTTATCTACTTGCCTTTACATGCTTTCAAACTGCTACGGGGGCAGGAGCTGGGGAAAAGTAACAAGAGCTCACCCCCCGTCATGCAGCAATAGCAATAGCACTTAGACTTACACACCACTTCACAGTCCTCTCTAAGCGGTTACAGAGTCAGCTTATTGCCCCCAACAGTCTCAAAAAAAAAAAACCCCACACAACTCTGGGTGGTGTACAAAAGCCAAGAATGAGAAAGCAGATAGTTGATCTATTTGCTAAATTTATATACTGCCTTTACTTCAGAAAAAAGCAAAATGAATGACATTCAACAAGATTCCCTCCTTCATTTTTTCCCAAAACAAAATATTGGCTAGGCCTAGGGTAAGTTAAATGATGGTGATCTGCCCAAAGCTATTTTCAATGAATTTCCATAGTTGAGGGTAAACTTGAACCTAAGTTGTCTTAAATCTAATCCAACATCCTGTTTTTGTGGTTGCTTTGAGAAATACAGCCCAAGTTCTTTGAAAAATAAATGAGTAATCATAGGATCCAAGATATGTGTCTTTGCAAGCAACCATGGAAACAGGTTTTAGACGGCAGGTGGCACTAAAAGACTATGTTAACTTCATAGTCTATATCCTTCAGCTCACATACCAAAGGTCAGTTGAAACAGGAAGTATCCAGAATTATTTCAACCCAGCACAAGCTAAGTTGAATTTATGCGTGGCTCTTCTTAATTGCAGACATGTGGCAGGAGTTTCTGCAGACTGTCCGGTGAGTGTAAAAAGCGGCAAGCAAACTAGGGAGAAGGCAGCATTTGAGTGACAGGCAGTTTACATTTGCCTGGATTTCTACCAAAGAAGCCAGTTGGGTAGTGAAGAAGCACCGATCATACTGCTGCTGGAGGGGAGGGCAGGTCTTCAATATCAAGGCAGCCACTCCTAGTTGTTATGGACACAAATGGGTGCTATAAAAGCGATAAGATTTTATTATGGAGCAATGAAGTTGCAGTGCTTGCATCCTCAGGCTGTAGATGTATATTTTAATTCTTGCCTCTTATGTAATTATGCATAGAAAAAAATGGTGGAGAAATCCTCTTAACATAAGGAAACATACATATATGCATGGAACGAAGGAAAGTACATTTTGTCCTGAGGATAAAATGGAAGAACCATACTGTAGTTTTTTCCCTTTGCAAAAGATTGAGGAAGTGAACTTGAAGTCTGTTTCAAATTAACATTCCTAAAATTCCTTGGTGCTGAATCAACCACATAAGGACTCTGAACAGCTAAATCCTTTGGAGATATTCTTTTATATAATCCACAGCAACATGCTTTACATGAGGTTGCTCTTGAACAGCCTTCAGAAGTTTCAACTGGTGCACAGTGCAGCTGTCTAGGTAGTAAAAGGTGTTGGATGTTTGACACAACTGCTACGTGAGTTGCATCGGTTAATAGTGTGTGTTTTCAGGTGCAATTCAAGGGGTTGGTTGTCACTTTCAAAACCCTTTGTGGCTTTGGGACTCAGTTACCTGAGGGATTGTTTTCTCTAAATTGTTTTTAGGTATCCAATCCAGTTTGGCAGGTTGGGCATGCTCTGGGTTCCAACAGCCAAGGAATGTTAGCTGGCTAGCAGTGGTGGCTTTTCTGCTATAACCCCTGTTGTAACAATCTCTCTCCAGAGATTAGGATGCGCCCGAAACTGTTGGTGTTTTGTAAAGCCTTGAAGAACTGGTTATATGCCCAGGCCTAATTATGCGCCCGGGCCTGGGGTACCAAGTTTGTGATAAGTCCCATTTCATGGTTATGGTAACATCTACAATTCTCTTTTTTTTTCCAGTTACCACATACATATTTTGTATTTTTACTTGTTCTTAAACAAGAGTCACTTGTTTAAGAAAAGCAGCCATAGAAATTGAATAAAATAAATAAATTCCTTAAACCATGATGTCTGAAAACCAGCCCTTTGAATTGCACCTGGAAACACACTGAGTGTTAAATTAAGCCTGTTTCAGTTGGCTAAGCATTTTATCTCCCTAGCTCTTATCAGTTTAGTGCAAGGTGAAATCATGTAAAAATGGAACGATGACACCAACCTCTCCCCTATCCCTGTTGCTCCTGAAAGGAGTACAAAGGAATCCACCAATCAGCTTTTTATTGCATATATCAGAGGTCCCCAACCTTTTGGGCACCAGGGACCGGTTATGTGGCGAGAGGGGGGATGGTTTTGTGTGCTGCCTGCATCCCACTGATGGGGCTTTGCTGGTTTGTGCAGCCCGGTTGTAGACATACCGCAGCCCGGTACCGGTCCACGGAGCCGGGGTTGGGGACCCCTGGCATATATAACAAGAAGAAAAGAAGCAGGGAAGGCAGGAATCATAAGTAAAAGATCTACTTATGACTTAGCTCCATTAATGATTGATGTTTTTTAGAAATTTATGCAATTGAATGGAATGCAGGAGTAGGATATAGAAAAGAGCATAGCAATGACAGAGTTCTGTGGTTAGACCTAGTCCTGTACACAGTGGGAAGGTGATGTTTTCCTTGCCAGGTAATAATGAGCAAAAGAGAGGGGTAATTCATCCAATTGCTTTATATATTCACACTAAATGCATAATCAGAATAGCTCCATTTATTAATGAAATGATACAGAAGCAGCAGAGACAGGATAGAGATCAGCAACAGGGCCCACAAATATTAGGCTCTTGTAGGACTTAGCTTCCTAATCAAACAATATAGATAGATCCTGGAGGTCGCTAACATTGAAAAAATCATTTTGACATTAAGTGAGGAATAAGAGCGAGCCATTTTTTTCTAGCAATTAAGTCGCCAGGTTAGAAACCAGGAGCTGTGAGTTCTAGTACCACCATAGCATGAAAGCCAGTTGGGTGACTTTAAACCAGTCACGGTTTCTCAGCCTATAATGTCAGGCTCAGGCAACAAGCCAGTTGGTTAATTTCTGTTGCAACCAATAGATCAATACTTGGTTGATCCAAAAAAAGAAGACGCTGAATCTGCAGGAAATCAGAAAAAAAATCAAGTGGGGAAAGAATAATCTTCTTAACCCAGAGTTCATGGTAATTTAGGAATGAGAGGAGTAAATGACCATTTTTTCCTCTCCCTTATTGATCAGTTTGAAACAGCACTATAGGAGTGAAGACAATCACACTGCTGTCTTCAAAGTAATTTGGAAAGATTAAAGAAATGTTGCCCTAGAGAAGTGCCCTACATGAAATATTTCCAGCTACATTACAGAAAATAGAAGTTTCTTTCTCTGTGCCAGGAAAGCACTAAATAATATTAAATAAATCACTAAATGATATTACATAAGTCACTGTCTTTCCTATATTCAATTAACATTTGGGAATAATAGCAGCACCTTAGAATGAAGTTTAAAGATGAGAAGGAGAAGCATTTTAAATTCTTAAACACTATATAGATGATATGCTATTATTATGTCTCTGCTTGGATGGAAACTAAAATAATTTCTCTGTTTTTTTCTTCATATGCCACTGATCCCAGGGCAAAGGGCAGTTTCAGGCTTTTTCTATTGCAAAAAAAGTAAATATATAACCCAAAATCATGTGCCAAGTTAATAGTTGTTTGAAGAGACCTTGAAGAAGACACTGGAGTAAGGTTTTCAAAAATGAAATGTGCACTGTTTATTTGGCTTTAATAGATCATTCATTTAGTTAAGGTTCTTTTTCAGGTAGATAATCTTCTCCCCACACTACACCCAATGTGTAGCTATTGCTCATTCTCTATAAAGGATTGTGCTGTTGTTTTTGGAAATTTACATGCTTTTTTCCACTGATAGTCTTCACCCTTTATTACTAAATATTTGAAAAATATTCTGTTTAAAACTGTATGCTAACGTGACTGGTATAGGGGAAGTTCTTCCTTTTGTTTTAGGAACCCTAGATATGCTAGAAGCCGTTTAAATATGTGGGGGGTTGTTGATTGATCAGCGGTGTTCACTTTTTGGTGCCATTCTCGGCTTTTGATGCCAAAATACTCGTTCTGGGTGCGAGTGTCTTTAGCTAAACTACTGGTTCTAATGAGACAACTTACCTCCAGAAGCTGAATGCTCCAACACTGGAAGTTTTTAAGAAGAGACTGGACAACCATTTGTCTGAAATGGGATAGGGCAGTGGTGGCGAACCTATGGCACGGGTGCCAGAGGCGGCACTCAGAACCCTCTCTGTGGGCACGCGTGCCGTCGCCCCAGTCCTAGGCCTTCAGCTGGGTTTTATAAAACCTTTTCGCTTTAGGCATCTGCTGCCATGTGCAAAAAAAAAAGGTTCAATCAATCAGTCAATTTCAACTTCTCGCGGGAAAAAAAAAGATCTTGCAAAGTTGGAATTGATTGATTGAACTTTTTAGTCCCACCCAGTCTGCCATTACCACCGCAGCCACGCCCACCCAATGGGCCACACCCAGCCAATGGGCCACACCCACCCGGCACCCGCCGCTGCATAAGTGGGTTTTGGGTTGCAGTTTGGGCACTCGGTCTCTAAAAGGTTTGCCATCACTGGGATAAGGTTTCCTGCCTGAGCAGGGGGCTGGACTAGAAGACCTCCAAGGTCCCTTCCAACTCTGTTCTTCTATTATTCTGTTTAGCCATAGTAGCTATGTTTCATGAGGGGTGAAAAATCCAAAGCTTGAAAGCCGATATCTTTAATAAACTAACTACAGTATTGCAAATCGCTACAAGTTTTCAAGTCTTTTTACTCAGCTAGCTTCCACATCCAATACAGTTTGAAGTTCCACCCAGATGCAGATTAATATCTGTTGAAGTGTGTCAGTTCACATATCGACAAGTCGTCACTTTTGAGAAATACTGATATATTTCTGTGGCTTGAGCTGAGACTCAGTATGGTCAAGCTCTTCAGTCATTGAATCTGTAGGCTTCTAGACAACCAGTTGTTTTTTGCTTTGGCTTTTCTAGGGAAGTTGATAAATAAATCAGGGACAAACTTGCCTGTCCAAGAAAAAAACAAACAAGACTTATACACTTTACCCATTGTATGTTCTCTGCTCCCCAATTTTTATTTCAGGTGCCACTACTTACCTTACTGATAGAAACTGGGTTCGCCATTTCTGTTGTGTAGCAAGCATCAGCATGAAAGGGTGGCAGAATTGTATGAAGATGCAGCGATGTCTTTAAGGAAGGGTTAAAAACACAGTGGCCACAGGACTGAAGTCCCATCCCTTTGCTACCGTGTTCAATGCAAGATGTATAAAAAGTATAGAGCTTTTGATCTCATGATTGTGGCTATCAACCTGCCTCTTTCGATCCATTCTCTGACATCCCTGTCCAGATATAATCCATGCTATCTCAATGATCTGTTATCTTGAAACTCATTTATATTTTAAATTCTGGGGAAATCTGTTTTCACAAGCTCATCATTTTATCTGCAGGGGCAGGCTGCAAATGTCATTTTTCTTCTTTCATCAGAGTTCCTTTCAGCTTCTACCTCACATTATTTTGATTATTTTGTAGGTCTTTTGACACATCTCAGCAAAATGTGATCACAGCATCTTGTGTTGTAGGAGGTGGAAGCCTCCTGATTTACTGGCTCCTGACGAGGCGCAGGATGAAGACCCTAGAAATAGGAGATGGATGGTGGGGGTTAGGTGAAAAACCATCAAGAAGTCAAGAAAATCATATGATTAGACCATTCCAAGTGAAAACGTCTGAGAAAGAAATCCAGGTATGAAGGAACATGAGCGAACTTAAGAGACTTTGAAAATTAACTATACTGCCAGAGTGATCCATATGGAAGATTAGAGGAGTCAAGATGGCGGCTGCAAGTGCAGAATCGACCCACCCAACCCCCTTTATGGCAGACTGCAACTCAACTATGAACATCCCTTATGTCTGTCCTTATATATTATTGTGCATCATTTACCTCACACTATATAATAACTATGTTAAATTTGGCATGTCAAATATATGTCAGAAGTTCATTATAGATTGTATAATGTATGCATACTTATGTGTCCCATTAGCTACTATGTAGAATATTATGCAACTACAGTTCTGTCCAGTGTTGCATGAGTTCAAGTAAAATACAAACAGCTGTCTTTTTAGGCTGCCTTCTCCAGCAACAACATGCTTTTAAAATATCTAATATAGTATCATCTCCATAAGAAATTCTCTCTCTCTCTTTGTAGGATTTGTACCGAAGGCTTGACCAGACTCGCTATACACCACCACTAGAGGGAGCTGCCTTTCATTATGGTTTCAACTCAGACTATTTGCAGAAAGTGGTCTCCTATTGGAGAAATCAGTTTGACTGGCAGAAACAAGTTAAAATCCTTAACCAGTACCCACATTATAAAACTACTATTGAAGGTAAATTCTTCCCCACTGAACTTTATATATAGCTCTCCTATAATGGAACAAATATCTCTGGTCCTGCCTGTTTTTGAATTTCACATTAAACTTCCTCTGTTATACAGTAGCAGGGGGTGGGGGATGGGGTGTTGTTGTTCCATTCAGTCATGTCCAATTCTTAGAGACTGCTTGGAAAAGGTCCCTGCATTTTTCTTGCCAAGATTTTTCAGAAGTGGTTTGCCATTTCTTCCTTCCTAGGCTGAGAGATAGTGACTGGACCAAGGATACCCACCTGGCTTTGTGCCTAAGGCAGGACTAGAACTCATGGTCTCCCAGTTTCTTTCACCACTGCACCAAACTGGCTCTCATTTAGCACTCACTGTTAATTGTATTGAATTTCCAACAGGGATAGAAGTTCATTTCATTCGTGTGAAACCATCTCATATCTTAGAAGACCAAATTGTCAGACCTTTGCTGATGGTGCATGGCTGGCCTGGCTCCTTTTATGAATTTTACAAGATCATTCCTTTGCTTATTAATCCACCCGGTCGTGTTTCAAACAGTGAAGATGTAGTCTTTGAGATCATTTGTCCTTCCATCCCGGGCTATGGCTTTTCTGAGCCTCCCCACCATCAGGGTAAGTTATTTTCCTAGCAAACAGTTTTAATTTATTATAATTAAATAATAATGATATTTTTTCTTTATAGAGAAACATGGAATAATATTAAGCAAATAAAGTTATAACCAGTAACCAGCACGGGTTTGTCAAAAACAGATCATGCCAAACCAATCTTATTTCATTCTTTGATAAAGTGACTAAATCAGTAGACCAAAGAAACGCTGTGGACATAGTATACTTAGATTTTAGTAAGGCGTTTGACAAAGTAGACCACAACCTGCTGCTTAGTAAGCTAGAAAAAGGTGGGATAGACAACAACACCATCAGCTGGATCTGTTGATGGCTGACAAACCGTACTCAGCGAGTAGTCCTCAATGGAACTACATCCACATGGAGAGAAGTAAACAGTGGGGTACCACAAGGCTCCATCTTCGGCCCAGTACTCTTTAATATTTTCATAAATGACTTAGACGAGGGAATTGAAGGGAAACTCATCAAATTTGCAGATGACACCAAACTGGCAGGAGTAGCCAATACCCCAGAAGACAAACTCAGGATCCAAAAAGATCTTGACAAACTTGAATAATGGGCCTTATCCAACAAAATGAGTTTCAATGTGGAGAAAAGCAAAGTTTTACATTTAGGCAGGAAAAATCAAAGATACAAGTACAGATTGGGCAAGACCTGGCTGAGGGACCTTGGAGTCCTAGTTGACAATCACTTGACTATGAGACAGCAGTGAGCAGCAGCAGCAGCAGCCAAAAAAACCAATATAATCCTGGATTGTATAAACAGAAGCATAGAATCAAGATCATGCGACATATTAGTACCGCTTTAAAAAACCTTAATAAGACCACGCCTGGAATACTGCAACCAATTTTGGTCACCATATCACAAAAAAGATGTTGAGAGTTTGGAAAAATTCAGAGAAGAGCAACTAAGATGATCAAAGGCCTGGAGACTAAAACATATGAAGAATGGCTGCAGGATTTGGGTTTGGCTAGTCTAAAAAGAAGAAGAAACAGGGGCGACATGATAGCAGTATTCCAGTATTTGAGGGGCTGTCACAAAGAAGAGGGGGTCAAACTATTCTCCAAAGCACCAGAGGGCAGGACAAGAAACAATGGTTGGAAACTGATCAAAGAGAGAAGCAACCTGGAATTAGGGAGAAACTTCCTAACAGCAAGGACAATTAACCAGTGGAACAGCTTGCCTTCAGAAATTGTGGGTGCTCCATCACTGGAGGTTTTTAAGAAGAGACTAAACAGTCACTTGTCTGAAATGGTATAGGTGCTCCTGCTTAAGCAGGGGGCTGAACTAGAGGACCTCCAAGGTTCCTTCCAGCTCTATTCTATTCTAACATGTTGGGCACTCTATGGCTATACAACTATATGTCAATACAGTCTTATGTCATTTTAAGAGTTAGTGGATTTATTGTGGCCTTGGTTTGGATGGACTATTTCTTCAGGTATAAGGAAGAGAAGTACGGTCAGTGGGAGAGGCAGATACGGCGGGAGCAGAGGACCATATCAGGTTAGGGGAGCACGCACACGCTATTTACAAGCTTGTGGGTGCTCCGGTCCTCAGGCCCCTACTCGGTCTCCAGGTGATTTAGATCCCCCGGCCCGGGACTGCCGGCTGTTGTTATGTAATGCCAGGTCCATGGTAAATAAGGCCCCCC